GCGCCGCCCGTCGCGGCAGGTGGATGAAACGCGCGAGGATTTGGCAATCTCTATGATTTCACATACGGAGCTGACGAAATATCGACCTATAACATCGACGTGTTTTCAGTGATAACAAATATTTTGATATCGCTAGGCTTAATGGCGACTAGTTGGCTGTTGAAACGCACGGAATGGAATATATACTTCCGTTCGACTCTCTCTCGTCCATTACGCAAGACCCCGAAAGACCATCGACGCGACCTATCGGCGGTAACATTACCGACCATGCAGCAGCAGCAGCAGCCGTCGTCGTCGTCGTCGCGACCCCGTATTCCACCCCCCTTCCGCATGGGGCGAGCCGAGCGCGGCAGAAGCGCGGTAGGGTGGGTAATGTCGGGAAATGCAGCTAACGAAGTTTACGAAGACACTTAACGGAATTACGCCCTCGCTCGCAGTGGTGCCCGCCGCCGCTCTGTCACCCCCGCGCGTCGCGCGCACCTCCGTGTTACCCCGTCCGGCGAGAGTACCGAGCGTCCCTTTACACTTTTCCGGCGGCAGGGAGGTCGCGTTAATTACCGACAGAGGCAAGAAACCGGGGAAACGGTGGCGAGATATCTCGTCGTCGTCAACGCTCCGACGATGGTTATGAAAGTCGGCTATGAGGACGGTCGGAGAACGGCGGGGGTTGTCGACGATGCGGGGCTGCTGCCGGAAGTGGGAGCGGGTGGAAGGGGTCGGTTTGCGCCGAAGAAGGGTGTTATTGACATGGTGGGTGTCGCGTCGTCGGCCATCTTGGGCCGCCGCGGTCTCCCCGCCGTCGCCGCTACCTCCTCCACCTCCTCCTCCTCCTCCTCTTCCTCCTCCTGCTCCTCTTCCTCGTTCTCCTCTTCCTCCCGCCGCTACCCTCTTCGTCGCATTCGCTCTGCTCCCCGTCGCGTCCAAAGGACATCCTTGTGTCCCCTTGCCGAGTGACATTCGGGCTGTGTGCCCAGCCTAACCTGCCCGGCGGACGCCCTGGGCCACCCTTTTCGACCAACCCCGGCAACGAGCTGCGAGGGTCCCGGGGGCTGCTTGTCTCCATGGCGACCGAACCCTCGCCCAACCCCCTCGACCAAACGCCGATTCCTATCCCTCGGCACTTCGCAACCCTCTTCCACCCCTACCCCGTTGCTCGTTCGCGCTGTCGTTCTCTCGTCGCCGGAGAAAGAGCCTTTCGATATCCTCGTGCACCTCTCTTTTGATAGATCGACGGGTCCTCTTTCGACTTTCCACGTGTTTCCTTTGTCTCGTTCCTTCGCCGCCGCCTCTCTTCGTCTTCTTCGTCGTCCGACAGCTGAACGGCAATTTTCAATTTTCGGAATTTTCCTCGTCCTCTTTGCCCGCCTCCGTCGTCTCCCTTCTTGACGATGCTTCCCTCTTCTCTCGTTACTCCCGAGCATCTTCGAATTGTTGCCTTCCTAGTGCCTGTCGCGCTCAAACCAGATGCGGTATCTATATTCCTCGTCGACAAGTGTCGTCCGCGTTGTTTCTTCTTCTTCATATTCCTCGTTCTCCCGACACTACCATTACTTCTGATTACTTCTGTTGTTTCTCGGCACGATACAGCTAATCTTACGGTCTCTCATACAGTTATCGTATTGTTTTAACGAACTTGATATTTTTTACTTTCAAATGAACTGAATTATATTTGGCTGAGCTTGTTTTTGCAAACTTGAAATCTGTGAAGTTGCACTTTTACGTTCTGCATGATAAATGCATGGAATGTAGTTTTAAATCTGCGCGTATTTTTTTCCAAGGGATTTAATATTCCAGGAGCATGCCTTTATAACTGTGAAATTTTTCACGAATTCGTATGTTTGTGAATTTTTGTTCTGAGTCATAATGTACGTTTTGGTTTGATCATCGTCTATTCGTACAACGTCAATATCGACAAAAGCCTGGTTTTTTATGATATACGTATATATAAATATATATATATATATGTAGATACACGCTATATAATATATCAAATATAGTTGATAATTAATAATTTTCCTATGTTAATCAGAAAGAATATATCGATGTTTTTTACCCCAATTTGAATTTGGCCACTTCGATATCACGCAAATCTAACAGCCCGTTCGGAAGACTGCAAAAAACACGGTCCGGTGATATCTGAAATTAGTTGGTGGCAGCATTAATTCCGTTAATTATATCGAAGAGCCGATCTTGAGGGACTCCGCTTGCCTCTTCCTTTTGTCGGGAGACCCTTTATCAAACATTCCCGAAGGCACAAAGTTGCCCTGCGGAATTGGCGGATATTAGGAAGGACTTCGCCGCGGCTTTTGTCTCGTTCGGCCACAAAGTTTCGCGAAGCACCACAATCCCGACCAATTAGCGACGATTTCCTAAATCAAGCCGTAACCGCGGGCTAATTGGTACTTGACATTCAACTTACTCCTACGTTTGTCGCGAGAAACTCTTAAACCCCAATCATCGATGACAAATACTCGAATTAATTGTACATGCCTCGTTCGAACGAGTTGCCTTTGAGGTTTCAAGGCCCGTTGTATCGCTTTACTCCCGGCCTTTTTTTTCGTCGCTTCGGACATTTTTACACGGACGCTCGGGAGTGAAATCACGAGCGCTGAATTTTAAATAATCTCCGTACCATTAATTATTCGTTCGTTACATCGGATATCAGGAATTTACCGGATCAATGAGAACAATATGCATTGTACTGATCTTTCAACAGTATCGATCTTTCGATAGTATCGTGGTGGTTTTAAGCATCTCTTCGGTCTGAGACGTGACGGGTCGGCGGTCGAATGAACTCGACTCGGTTACCGCTCGTTCACCGCTCGTGCAGCTGCATTGCGGCAAAACAGAAGACGTCTGTCATCGGAGACGATCCGTGGGAGAGAGAGACGCATCGGAATGCAATTCCGTAAATGCGCAACGTGGCCGTCCATTCAAGCTCCGTCTGCCCGGCCAGCTGCGGCTTTAAAATAGCCCTTACATCCGATCGGCGGACGACGAATGTGGGTGGCACCTGATGAGCGGAATGACAACGATTCGATTAATTAACGCCGGGCTGCCGTCGATATTCATACGACGACAACGCGACGACGACGATAACCGCAACGACGACGAGACCGGAAGCGCGTCGAGCGAGAAGGAAAGAAGAATCGCGTTCTTTATGCACGCGAATCCAACTGTTTATTCAGTATATAGTGAAAACGAGAGGAAGAGGAGAAAAAGAGACAGAAGGAGAGAACGGCAGCGTCGGCGACGGGGTGGAGGAGGGGCCGGAGGAGGAGAATCCGAGAGGGGGAGGGGGGAGGGAATGCAACAGCAAGCGCGAGTGATCGACATGAAACGAGTTCATTCATGCTTGGATGTTGTAATTCTGAATGGACGTGAATGGATCGAAGTTGGCGCGCGATTAGATTTCCATTGTGTGCTGTATCGTGCGTGTTGACTTAATAATATACTTTTTGTTTCACGTAAACGCGACGGGGATTCGGCTGATTTTCACTTTTCAATGGACATTATACAATCAGACTCTCGAGCGACCCCGAAGCGAATCTCGCGTACCGCGAATTCGAATCGCGCACGACATCCCCTCGATTATAGCCCTCGATGTCATCTTCAGCGAAACTTTCACGTGACACGCATGAGATGCAACTCGGGGAATCTTTTAATCTGATCGCGATCGCGATTCGACGTTTCACGTGACGCCGAAACTGGTGATCAACGGACGTCGCGTTGCAGGGAAGAAGAACTCCGCTCGAGTCATTCGATGATTCGCGCGAAAATCCGCGAGAGAGGTTAAAAGAGGCCGCGTCCTCCCTTTCTCTCAAGGGTGCGATAACTTTCAGCGCCGACTGTATCGGCTGGATGATACATCCCCCGGGGGTTTTCTCCCCTTGGGTGTTAGGGTATGTTTCGTTGCCTGGCAACGACACCCTCGAAGTCCGCGCTCTGATTGGCCCCGTCTCGCTTTTCCTGTCTTAGCCTCTCTTCTCACCCCCGTCGCCAATCAGGTCCCCTTCTTCGCCCATGCCATAACCACCCCATACCTGCCCGTCCACCCCCCCCCCCCCCNCCCCCCCCCCCCCCGCCGTTCCGAAAACCGTCGTTCTCGGGGCGAAATGCCACACACGCTCCCGCGTTGCAAAGAACACACGACGACGACGATGAGCGTCCGCGTGAGCGGAATGCGAAGAATTGGAGAGAGAATTTCACGCAGCGGCGCAGCGCGTACGAATTGCGCGTGTGACGAAGTGTGCGACGAGCGACACACGGGGATTCGCTTTCTCTTGTGTTTCACAGTAATATCGTAATACGAGAGGAATGCGAAAGAAAAACGACGACGGGGAAACATTCGTGCGATCGCTTTCGTTTCGAACGAGCTCGATTCTTTTCTACAAATAATCCTTTCCGACGATGATATATATTTCTTTTTTTCATTGTATATTTTTATCTTTTCACATACACACGCGCGCGCGCGTATACATGCACAGACGAGGCTGTGAATAAGAAGCTGCCGGTGTATCCGTCTCGCTACGTGTTTCTTCCTCGGTGTTCTTCTCGTCCATCGACGTCGTCTCGGGCTTGATGAAACTAGCGTCGCCGAATAGACGGCCGGAATCTTATTTGCCGTAGACTCGCCCGTCGAAATCCGATTACGAGTAGACGCTCGCTCCAACGTCGGCCGATGTCAATGAGAGTCATTTCTATTTTTACCACTCTAAATTGTACGAAGGGAAGCGACTCTGCTCCGGCTTCTCCTTTTCAATGCCTCCTTCGTGTAGTCGGTTTGTTGTCGAGGCTGCAGCGCTACGAGGGAAGAGGATTAAGCCTTCCTATTGATCTCGTTCAATAGATCCGTGCCCTTTCGCGTGCTAGCACTTGTAATGTTTTGACATCCTTTACTCTCGCGTTTAACGCGTCGCCCTCCTCCCCTCATCCTTTCCTCGAACGCGCATCTCGACTTGCCTCCGACTTGATATCGTAATATCGATAAAATCAGTAATGCGATTTAACATTCTAACATCGACAGCGGTGGAATCCATTGAGAAAGATGCGTTGATCATTTTTCCGTATTGTATTCATTTAACAGAGGACTTCAGCGGAGACGACGCTTTCTGTAACTTGCCCGTTGACCCCGACAAGCAGTGTGATAAAAGCAAGAAGTAAGTATGATCATAAATGACCCATGAAACTCGTCCGCAGGGAGACAGAAAAAAATAGCGGTATTGATTAATTATTTATTGCAGGATACCGCGGATACCGAAGATATTCTACGGTACGCGGACGCACAAGCAGATCGCGCAAATAGTCCGAGAATTGAAGAAGACCGCGTACAGGAATAAGAGGTATACACAGGACGTCTCAGATCAATATGGACAAACTTCGTGAGGGCGTGCGAGCGGATCGAGGTGAACAAGGAAGTCCTCTGCCATTTTCAAGTTTGTCCATCTGTTGATCCGGGACGTCCTGTATAAAAAGAGATATCGATTGAAATATTAAATACGGCACATTTAAAATATCCGTTATCCGTGAAATCAATCGTTTAACGAGCGGGATCCACTTGCAGGATGACTGTACTGAGCAGCCGAGATCACACGTGCATCCAAGAGTCGAACAGGAACAAGAACGAGCTCTGCAACGAGCTGCTCGATCCGAAAAAGGTTTCTCTAAATTTATCTATTTTACTTCCCTGAAGGAAAGGCACTGAACGATTATATGTAACGGCACTATGTGTCTTTCTCTCCCTCTCTCTCTCTCTCTACTCGCAGCGTACCAAGTGTCCGTATTATAATGAACAAAATAAAAGAAACATGGCGTCGTTTGAGACAGTGCAGCGTCTCGGATTGAGGACACCTTGGGACATTGAAGATTTGCTCTCGCTGGGCAAGCGGATCGGTGCCTGTCCGTATTTCGCCGCCAGATCTCTGATGGCCGACGCGGAGATCGTCATGTGTCCCTACAACTACATCATAGACCCAAACATCCGCGAGAGCGTAAGTGTCTCGTGAGTTTACTCGCTCGTTGGTCAAATGTACGAAGCTGGCTGGTGTGAACAATCGAATCTCTCGAAGGGACTGGGTATTTCGTTGATATTTTTGCATTAATAATGACAGCGCCGAGATCTCTCGGTTTGAAAATCGTGCGGGTCGCTTCTACATCTTTTCCTTTCGCCGGTGATGTTGTGAATGTTGAGAGAACGATGGGTCACTGTCGCGAAATTAATGTGCAGATGCAGATCAATCTGAAAGGCAACGTCATAATATTGGACGAGGCTCACAACATCGAGGATATTTGTCGGGAAGTTGCCAGCGTAGATATAAAAGATACGAAGCTCGTGGCTGCCTCCGAGGAATGCGAGATTCTCTCGCACAACCGCAAAGTTAATGAAAATATGTACACGACGATATATACATATCTCCGAAAGTTCGTGCAATTCCTCACGAATGTCGACGTCAAGGACAACGCGAACGTATGTACTTATTAAAACGATTGATATATCGTGTCGTTTTTACGATCATTTTGCATATCGTTCTCGTCTGTCAATTTATGAACGCGTAAACCGTTTAAATATCGCTATTCTCTGCTAACAGTGTGTGTGTGTATGTGTGTGTGTGTGTGTGTATGACCTAGGATAACCATATGGTCAGTAAGGAATGGCTTGGCATGGAATTACTCGAAGTGCTCAACATGGAACAAATCGGACATTCTGCCTTTCCCCTTTTTCTCGCTGCCAGTAGAGCAGCCATTCAGGATTTCACCAGCATGAGGGAGACCTTCTCCGAGAGAGCCATACCCACCATCACTCTCGACGCCAAAACGGTCCTCGAAAATCTCTGTTTCGCTATAGAAATGATTAGCTCGGAGAGTTACGTTAACGACTACAAAGCGTACGTTGTCGAGGTCGAAGAGTACAGAGCTGCGTGTACGAAGGTAAGAAGAATGAATTTTACTCGAGCGTAATTCGATGTAACTGTCATCGCTACGACCGTCATTCAGGCGGCCGATGACGTCTGGGTGTCGATGAGAAACAAGCGGCAACGAGTACGCGTGTTGAAACTGGTCTGCATGAATCCCGCGGTGATCTTCGCGCCTATCGCCCGCACCGCCCGCTCGGTGATCCTCGCTTCGGGTACGTTGTCGCCGGTCTCGTCTTTCGAGAGCGAACTCGGAACGCGATTTCCGCACAAGCTCCATGCCAATCACGTTATATCGAGGGAGCAGGTGTACGTTAGGTGTATATCGAGAGGACCGGCCGGTGAAGCACTGAAGGCCACCTACGAGAACGTAAACGACTGGACTTTCATGGTAACGGAATATTTTAGTTCGCTACTTCACTCGATGATCTTCCTGCGATAATCGCGTCGAAGACACATTTTCTCGGGGAATTGTATTTAACTTTGCAATCACACGACCAGAAAGGACTTGGAAACTTGATCGTCCAAGTGTGCGACGCGGTACCGTACGGTGTTCTGTGCTTCTTTTCGTCTTACCCCACGATGCATAAGATACACAACCGGTGGAAAGACACCGGCATTTGGGCCCAACTGGAGCAACTGAAGAAGATCTTCGTGGAGCCGAAAACTACCAAGGAGCTCGATGAGGTGATGCGACAATATCACAGGGCCATTGACGAGTCGTCCTCCGATGAGAAATCCGGGGCGATCCTGTTCGCTATCTTTAGAGGTAAAGTGGCGGAAGGCACTGATTTCAGCGACAATGAAGCGCGATGTGTATTGACGGTGAGTGTCGGCTGTTAACACGTTCGCACGTATGTACGCGTGTAAAACGGCACCGTCTCGTAAGATGTATTTGTATGATTTATTAGGTCGGTATACCGTTTAGCAATATAAAGGACAAGAGTATATGCATGAAGAAGGATTACAATAACTCCAATGCGTCGAAAGGATTGCTGTCCGGTTCAGAATGGTTTACCGTACACGCGTTCAGAGCGTTAAATCAAGCGTTGGGTCGTTGCATCCGGCATAAAGACGACTGGGGTGCGGTTTTGTTGGTGGATGTGAGGTACGTACGAGATGTGAAAGCCTTCACACCCGAGGAAGGGTAAGGTTTCTTATTTAAAAAGTTTCCTACAGATTGCAGAGAGAACTGTATCGTAAAAATTTCGAATACCTGCCAAAGTGGATCAGAGAAATGGTGAGTGCCGGTTATCGAAATTTGTTACCTCGTTGAGATGTTTAAGAGTTTCAATTTTGCAGTGGAAAGATGACAGTAACTACGACTTACAAGGAGAACTCGGGAACTTTGTGGCGGGACACGTTGCTCGCGAAAGGGGCAGAATGTATCTTGAAGAAAAGAAAGCACAAGGGTCTTATAAAACATCAGTCCATGGGATGGATTGAAATGTTAGAAATTAGTTTAAGTTTTATTAAAAAGTTGTGAATGATAGAATATTTAACACTTTTTACCACTTAATTTAACACTGTCACGTGTCATACATTGTGTCACACCTTGATCGTGTCTCTTTTTTCTATCATACGCAACTGTTTCTTCTTCATTCTTTTTATTTTCGCAGTATTTGTAATCTGAAAATTATGGCAAGAGGATGATGTTGAGTACATAAATAAATATATTTTAAGAAAAGAGCAACAAGAAGAAAGGATTCACTCACGACTTGTACAACTTCGCTCTTCTTCCTATTCTCTTCAGCCCTCTTTAAATTTTCTCTCCTTCGTTGCTTCTTCCCTTCTTTCTCCTCCTGTTTTTGCGCCTTAATTGCTCTCGACATTTCCTTAACGCGTTTAAGATCCTGTCTCAGTTTTTGTTTTTCGGCAAGCGACGATCGAATCCCACGTGTTTTGATTATAGAAGAAAATCTGCAAATGGTCGTTTATATATATATTTTACTTGGAGAGACGAACGAGAAAATTATAATCGGACAAATCGTGTTAATTATCAAATCTAACTTACTTTGTTTTCTGTTCTTTCCATATCCTGCCAGATTTTGGTTTGCCTCTTGGAACGTATAACTTTTCACGTTCATTTTTCGGGCTAATCTGTTCCGAGACGTGCCTCTGATGCATCACTGATGCTTCTTTCTGTACCGAATCCACATTGCTGCTTGTTACATCTGACATACGTGGTAATCTTTCCTCGTTAGTGTCGGTCATCGTCATTGGAAAGTCAATAAAATATCCAACTGAACGTTTCGCGTGTAAATAATCCTCATAGGTTATCTCGTCATATGGTGATGTCGCGTAAGAGCGGAGAACAGTCGCAACTCAACAAGGATTGTTCCGTAAACTACATTATCGATGCATGGTACAGTAGTTCTTGTCGGCGCGACAAAAATATACTGGGTTGGAAAAGTTTACAGCATTTTTCAATAGACGGCGTACGTGACACATTTAGAGCCACTCCATCACTACGGGCTGTTTGGCGCCATTTCACGGTAACTCTGAGAACCCGAATGGCGAAAGCTCTGTCCGTAGTTCGTGGTATTCATACAGATGTCTGCCGTTGAATTATATAGCCTTTTAAAAGTTGAAACACGTGGACAAGTCGACAATAGTGTAATTAAATCATTTGTATTAACGTGATAATGGAGTCTTTGCAAGCAATTAAGGATTACCTAAATTATGATACCCGATTGGATTTGAAAGCTGTTGCATTAAATTATGTGCTTGGTAAGTATTTGTATATTTTAATTGTGCATGTAAAAAAAGAAATATATATATATATATATGTGGTAATATTTTCTGTACTTTACTTTTTTCTATCGTTTTATTAATTCTATAGATCATTTACTGTTTAAGATATGAATGCTATATGTTTTATACCATCAGAGGTTACGGATGATAATTATTAACATGATATATACATTGATTAAAATTGAATTTTATCGATGAAATAGATAGAAAATTATTTGCGCACAGGTATGACAGCCACTAGTGATGGTCGAGAGATCTTGTTGGGACTGGCAGAAATATTGAAGCAGCTCGTCATTCTCACGCAAGATTCTTCAGTTCCTATTAGCAAGGATGCTGTGTCAGCATTGGTAAACATTACCGGGGATGAGTCAGGGACCAATGCATTGCTGATCATTTCAGAATCAGGCGGCTCAACAAATACGCAAGAATATAGTTCGAATTTAATAGAAGTTTGTATAAAGTAAATATGTAATTGTGCATTTTTTGGTTAATTCATATTCCATAGTCCAGATACATGATTGAAATACATAATTATATGGATTATTTTGCAGAGCTATAATGGATAAGTCCAGTGTTTTGGCAGATCCATGCTGTATGATACTTTCCAACATGACGAGACCATTTCACTCGGTCGACAGGGTAATAGCGTTGATTGAACAATGTGGTTATACCTGGGATGCGATAATGGCTGCGTTTACTGCAAAGCAGTATAACACTACTGGTGCTAAAATGCATTATCTTGGGCCAGTCTTCAGCAATCTCAGTCAGTCGCCATATGTAAGAAGGTACTGTTCAATTGAATATTTAATTGAATCCTTTCGGTTTTCACTCAGTTAAGTATTCCTGCAGATTCATGCGTCTTGTTTCAGATATTTGATGGACCGAGATCATTGTGTTATTCAGCGGTTGTTCCCGTTCACTGAGCATCCCGATATGATAAGACGTGGTGGTATCGTTGGTACTTTAAAAAATTGTACTTTCGACACAAAAAATCACGAATGGTTGCTGAGTCCGGAAGTGGATTTATTGTCATACCTGTTGTTGCCACTCGCTGGTCCAGAAGAGTTTGATGACGAAGACAATGACAAATTACCATGTAGTTTGCAATATCTACCTGAAACAAAGACGCGGGAGCCTGACCCGGATATAAGGTAAGTCATATTCAATATGATATATCCCAGATAGATGGAAATGCTAAACATAGCATGTAAACATTTAAAGTATACTTTTTGATGTCACTGCAACAGCACATGTTTAAAATATACTTGTTTTAAGAAATACTCATTTATTATGTCATAATTTTACTCAAATTATTGACTTCTTGTTACTATAATAATTCCAGATTAATTGCGTTCTCTTTCGGGTAAGATATATTCATGGCATCAAAATATCGCCGCAATATTACTGCAGTTTGAGCTTTTTTTTATATACTGACAAAATTCTTGTCATATGAAGACGCATTTTCACGAACTTATGCTAGTCACGATGCAAACAATATACCAAAATATGTCTATCTGGGATGTTTCGCAAAACTTGAAAAGAGAATGCATTAATATTATTACTATTATATCTTTTTTTTTTTAGACTCATGCTCTTGGAAGCACTGAACCAACTTTGTGCAACAAAAGCAGCTAGGGAAATATTGAGAGAAAAAAATACATATGTCATACTTAGAGAGTTTCACAAGTGGGAAAAGGACTCGAGTATCTTACTGGCGTGTGAAAATGTTGTAGATATTTTGATAAAGTAAATACTCTTGACTAAAATGTACTTAATGTTTTCTCTCTTACCAGAGTGAAATATAAAAATGCATATTTGCTCGTTACAGAACCGAGGAAGAGATTGGCTTGGACAACTTGAAGGAAATGGAAGTACCTTCCGAGTATACGAAGAAATTTCACGAGATGGATGAAGACTTTATTAATAAGACGGTGTAAAATTGTACATAATAAATATAATGTTCTGTAAATATTGTATACAATATACATAACACTTGCTCGGCACAAACCGTAAAAAGTGATGCTCGCGTTGATAACACATTCCGCATTTTGTATGTCGCCCGTCATCTATTGCACTGCCCCGTTTTATCACCTAATAATAAGCTATCAGGTCCAACGTAGCGAAGAAAAAGAAAGTCTAATAGCCTGATCTTCCAATCACATACACATCGTAAATAAATATCGAAATACATTCGAAATTGGGATGCATACGCGGCACAATAAAATATAATTCCAATTTCCTACAACTTACACACTAACATCCGAACAAAACAGGTACGCGTAAGTAGTTGCATATGTGTGTATGCCGATAGACACGACTAACGAAATCACGATATGTTCATGAAGGATCTCTTTTTCTCCGAAATCATAACGCGAATGGCAAAGTGTGTATACGTGTACGTGTGTGTATGTACATATATATATATATATATATATATATGCGTGTTACAGTATTAAACATTGAATATTCGAGTACTTGCGGATAATTTAAGCGGTTTTCATCAGGGCAAGTAGCCAAGGCCAGCCTCGAGGCTGATGGAACTTCTTATGCTGGACGCGTTGCTGGTCCTCCTGGAGATTCGGTTGCCCTCACCGGCGCCGAAGACTGCGGCGATTTCCGCGCTCTTCTTTATGGAGAGCGCCTCGTGATGGGCGCCGGATCTCCCGCTGCCGCGGGAGGAATATTTCTTGTCTCTCTCGGCGCCGCCGACGTAAACCAAACGGCCCTGAGTATCTCGGGCGCTAACGACAAGTACCTTCTCGCTGCCGGACGATTGCTGGGACTTCCTTCCTGGACTGAAGAGATCGTAATCTAAAGCTAAATTGTCCGAACTGCCGCAGGCTGGCGATGATCGATTCTGAAGCAGAATTCGCGCGGGCGAACATTTTAACAAGCAAGCTCATCATGGCTAAACTACACACACAATAATAAAGAAGTGTGATGCTTTTCTCTCTCTCTCTCTCTCTCTCTCTCCCTGGCTCTACCTTGAGGAAGTCGGTGTTGTGCGACGAGCTGTGACTACCGGCCATCCGCGTGCCTTTGACCCGCTCGGGACTGTCGCCTCGGCTGAGCGTACTCTCCGAAGGCACGATCCCTTTCTGCCTGAGTTGCTCGAGTATGGTCGGTTGCTGGATCGGCTTCCTCGCGCAGTAACACTTGTTACTCTCGGAGCAGCTGTCCGTGTCGCAGGCGCAAACAGCCCCCGTGTTTTCAGGTACGGAAGTAGCCGGTACTCGTCTGGACAACGAGCAGTAACACTTGTCAGCCGACACGCAGGTGCACGACTCGGAATCGTAGCTGCACTCGCTGCAACTCACGTACCCGCTGCTGCTTCTGTTCGCGGTGGCACCCATACCGCGGCTCAGTCGTCTACCTGCGTGGCCCAGTGACGTTAGGATGCTTCAACTCGGCGAGAACCACACGGAGAAAAAAAGACCGGTCGAATGAACGCGACAATGAACGAACCAAGTTCGGCTGGTAATTAGAAATTCCGTTTCCTTCAATTAAAATGCGTTTGGTTCATTCATCGTCACAGTTAATTCGGACCAATCTCTCTTCTTCATGCGCGTGCCGGATGTCACGTTGTCAGTTACGAAAATTACATCTTATTAGACTGAGTACGGTTTTACACATTTCTTCTTTACTTTTGACTGAAACTTTGACAATCCTTGCAATGAAAGGATCGATATGACGCGATCGAAAGATCAAACTGATCTTTTTTCACTCGGAATCATCGAGAGTCCAAAGGGCTACCGACATAGGGAAGCTGGTACTTGGATCTAAGCTGATTTGAGTCGAATAACCCGCAAAATCCCAGCGAGGAAGTACAATAGATTGCAATAAAGCTAAGTATATAGGCTCTGTTGTAAAATTGTTACCATCTTTATTATTAACAGTTTCGATCGATCGATCGATCAAGGATCTCTCGCGCAACGGGGAGATTTTCCCGCAGCAGTCGGTCAATTTGTTAAGAATCATTCGGACGAGTGTGATATTCTATCTTACTTACACGTGTCACTGTCTTCCGAGGTCGTGTGACACGCCCCGGTTTTGCTCTTCCGCCAGGACTTCCTTCTGCCGAGTCTACTCGCCAGCACTCTGTTCCTGTGGTTGTTCCTGACGTCGCACGACGAGCTGCTGCCGAAACTGTCGTTCAGCCTTCTCGCCGGGAATATGACGGACGTGAACTCCGTGGGGCCGCCTTTCAGCCTCGAGACGGATCTCTTGATGGCCCTGCCTAACAAGCAAGATCGACGGCTGGACCGCCGTCTTTGCGGCCGGCGACGTCTTCTCATGATACTGGCGGATCTCTGGTACAGCTCGTCCTGCGTCAACGTCGCGGCCAGTTTCAACAAGAATTCTTTGTAGAGCGGCTTCAGGTCGTTGAACGACATACCCTCGGGATCTGTAAGCACGTTTCCACGGTGTACATTCACCACTGGCGCTCGAATGCGCACGGAGAGGAAAAGTTTGGCTGAATTGTAACATGACGATGAACGAGCCAAGTGCTCGTTTTGGTCTCAGGAAAGCAGAATTTCCGGTTGCGAGAGCCGAATTTGGTTTACAACGATCAGAAGTTCCGTTTCTTCGGGGCAAGACGCGGTTTAGTTCGTTCTTTTGTCGCGTCGGTTCGACCAAGCTTTCCCCTGCGTGCGAAAAACGCAATATAATTACCTATGATAGCTGCGAGAATGTCGTCGACACTGGTCAAGCCCTCCTGATTCCTGAACTCGTCGAACAGTTCCGTGAATCCTAACGGTGTGCCTCCCTTGATATTGTTGGGCCTGCGAGTACTTCCGGAGGTCAGGAAACTGCCTCTTCTGGGTAGCTCGACTCGCGTCATCAGGTCCCCCCGGTCCACGTCTATGTCGCTCTGCGACCGCCTGAGCCCGTTCTCCTGCAGGATCTTGTTCGCGTCCTCCGAATGGCTGACCGGCGGCTCGCTACCCGCTCTGCTCCGTCTTCTCATCCTAGGACGGCTGTACTCCGGTACGTTCAGCGAGCAAGCCGGATCCGATTGCTCCTTCTTCAGCGGTTTGTCCATCGTGACTACTCGGCTGACTCTTTTGCCGGAGGAGTGCACCTTCTCCGTGTCTCTCGACCGCCTCTGCTGATCCGCCGTGCCGCCGCCGTCGTCCTCGGCCTGTTCCTGATGCGACTGGTAGAGCTCGTTTATCTTCAAGTTCTTCGCGAAGAACACGTCCTCTTGGCAGCTCTTCAGCTGGCCACGATCGTCTCTGCCGCTGCTTCTCGTCATGTAAATGTCCTCCTTACCCAGACTGTAGATCTTGTCGGCGTCTTCGATCCGCGAACTGTAAGCGTTCTCCTTCTTCCTGCTTCCGGCTTGCTCATATATCGTGGAGCTCGGCCCGTTCCTCCTGGTCTTGTCGATCTTATCGTACATGAAAACGCAGTCGGCCCTGGAAGAATACGATTGTCGTTCGCAAGCAAAGCTCTCAACGTTCGTTCGATTCATATCGTACGATCCGTAATTTCTCTCGTAAACGTCGTCCTTCAGATCGGCCTTCAGTTCCTTCTCCTTCTTCGGCATGCTCTGCTTGTATACCTTCTCGTATTTGTTCGACCGCCTCTCGTAAATCCCGTTCGCCTCGTTGTCCCGGACACTGTATATCTTCTCGATTTTCGAGTTGGACTCGATCAGTATGCGCAGAGAGTTCTGGTCCTTCGCGGAGAACATCTTGTTCCTGGAATTCTGCAATTCCTCGTCCCTGGACAGCATGATGTCCCGATTACTTTGCCCGAAATTGCTTTTCTCCGTCTTGACGATGTCTCTTGACTTTCTGCCACGTGCTTCGAGGATGTCCTCCGCCTTCACGTCGGAGTTCTTCTTCTTCCTGCGAGGTACTTTTTGCAAACTCGGCTTCGGGCCCTCTTCCTCCGTCAGGGAACTGCTGACGGACGTCTTTTTGGTCCTGGGCGGCCTGACAGGGTGCGGCGCGATCGGTCTTGGCGGTGGAGGTAGCAAACATCCCATTTTACTGCTCAGACTAGGCTCTCGGACGCTGGAGACGACGGACGCCAGACTGATGCAGCCGACGCCGTTCATGTGACGGGGTCGCCGGCGATTCGCGTCCAGGTCGGCGAGAAGGGCGCGATATAACGTCGCCGCGGCCGCCACAGCGTCCTCCTCGGACGCGCAGGCGAACGCGTGGCATTCCAAGAGCCTGGCAGCCCCGGGCCGGCGCATCACCACGGCGAAGATCGGAGGATAGAAGTCCACTTCGCTTCTCAAGCCGCGCATTGTCCTGAAGTTGAACATTAAGGATCATTTCTGCTTTTAAATTCACATCCGTGCACACGCTCCGAATTGTCAGAGGAGACACCGTCAAAACTGACATAAGTATTGTAAACTGACGTAACAAATGTATATATAAAATAACAAAATTTCCTATTTCTTTCAGATCCTAGTTTCGAGAAATGTCAATCCTCAAACATGTGAAAAGAAATCATTATTCGCAAGGAAAAATATAATAATTTTCACAACACTGTCACATATATCTGGTGGAGAATTATTTCTGATTTATATCCATGTGGATAAATTTTTATATTACATCTTCAACAAGGTTCCAGGGCCTAAAAACAAAATGGTATGTCGGTTTCGGTGCTTTTCCTCTGACGCAAAGAAATCTATATAAAGTCGAGATAACTTTTCGTGATTTCGCAGTAAGTGTTAAACATACACAAGGAAATTGGAAAAATCAAGACAGAGAGAAATTAAGTGCATCGATGATGATAAATACGATGTTGTCCGTACCTGTAGAGATCAGCGTGTCTGTCTTCCATGGTCTGTCCCTGATCCTGATCACCGACTAAAGGCAGGAAGGCGTGATGCAAATCACCCGATGGCACTCTCTTGCATCGAAGCCTCAGGGCGCTCCATACCGCTATTCTGCGGAAAGGATTGTTCTTTTCGCAAATGTCGCTGGTGCGGAACGTCAGTCCGCGTCGGGAAACCTCCAGCTCAGCCCTTATGCAACCTTCCATGCGCTCCAACAGCTGACGAAGAGGCTCCTGAAGACCACGCACGCTGGCCACGCGCCCACCAACCGGAGCAGCTCCCATGTATTTTACCTGATAAATCAAGCCAAGTGTGTCATATACCTGTATATGATGGTGGTAAAAACACAAAAGTAAGATAAAACGAAGCGATAAAATGAAGTATCTAATTTGCCATACGGAGAGTGTGTCTTCTTAAATCAAATCATTCAATATACGCGGCTCTCTCATAAATAGTATACTATTAATACGTTATTAACATAAACATGCTAGAGCGATAATATATACAAATACTGAAGTACATTAACATAATGTAGAATAGTTTTATAGAGAATAGTTTTATTTATTACAGCGAACTTCGCCGAAATACGCGCGCACAGCGACGTGAGAGGAGCGCCACAAAAGGGTGACGTGTGCTTGCAAAAATAGAGGTTAATAAAAAAATCAGTTGTGTTCCTTTTGTGCGTTCCAGTCTGAAAACCGGTGGAAACCTGTTCCGTTTGATAAGTGGTACTATCGAAGATAAACACACGCAGGATCGTAATATAGAGACTTTATTGTGCATCTCTCGAGCGCAATAAAGTACCCTAAAACTAGCGGAGGAATTTCGCAGTATCGTCGCTTTATTCGCTGGCACTTTAATGCGCGCGATGCGTGTCCCAAGGAATGTAACGAAATAAAATTCGAATATCCTGTATATACGGCTGCAAGCTGTGTGTGTGGACTCGCGAATTTCACGCTTACTGAGATTTTATTCCACCGATAAAACGGCCGTTCTTATCTTTGTCTCGTAATTAGTTTGTTACAGTTTGTGGTTTGTTGAGATTTAATGATTCGGGCGCGCCGAAAAGCATAACTCTGACCACAAAGGAAATACAGGAAGTATCAATGCTCCTGATAAAATAAATAGCTGCTGTCAAGTCTTGTTATGATCGACCGCCACGCCTAAGCAAGTTCTCTCGTCGAGTGACGTAACCCGATCGATCAATCGGCAGCTTCTTTTCACGATCGGAGAGTTATGCGAAGTAAGGCGAAACAATGCGCGGCCTAAAGCCCACAAAGCAGGATACCGTGTCGGCGAAGGAATCCGCATACCGGCGTAACAACTGAAGGGGAATTTTTCAGCGCTCCGAATAGTTTATGGAGGTCTGTCACGCTCCGCGGTTCGTGAGCGGAATGAAAGTGATGATTAAAGATTCTGGATCAACGCCCGAGAGGAAAGTCTGAGGACTTTTCGCGGACTTTTTTCTCGGAGCACGTTTCGATGAAAATCGCGATCGCACATTTCTCCCTTTCCTCGATTATAAATGCACGGTGCGCAGACTGAATTTCCAGAGAAGTGACATCAAACTTATGCGGGAAATATGCGAGATTACTTCTGAGTGAAGTGTATTATATTCTGCTAGATTTCGATGAACCTAGTAGTTAATAATAATAAACACACGGAGAAAGAAAAAATGTTCAAATTAACGTGATAATGAACTAACTGACAATACATTTTGGTCGATGGAAACAGAATTTCTGGTCCTAAGGACCAGAATTTCGTCCATCAAGAACCAGAAATATTTTTCCTTCGACGAAACCGCGTTTACTTCGTTCGTTTGCAAGATTATTACAAGATTTTACTTTGCGGTTTATTGCGTAAACTATTGCTGTCGCAGTTTCAGAATTGCAAGACTTTTTCCATCTTACAATCCTATTTACGATTATCAAAGTTTCTTCTCCCTTTATTATTCTGTATCGTGTGTTAGTTGTGACGTTTTAATTGAAGTCCGATGCTGTCAGCTTCATACACGAACGTTATTTAGGAAAACGTTGCTGTCTGAAAGCAATCAAACACCACCGAAAGGGTTTGGTATTATCTAAAAAACAAGATGTAAGAAATCTCAAATATTTAATGTTTTCTCCCTTAACTTTGACGAGTCCACTCCCGATATATATATATAACATATATATATTATATATATAACATATATATGTTCTGCTTCTCGGAAGATCATTGTGCGCAATTCTTTCCTTTCTAATGAGCAACCAGCTCGCGAGTAATTATACGTCGATCTAAATTTTATTCCTGACACGGAATCACCGCAAACACCATCAGGGTATTTATGTGAGATTTCTGAGGCGGAAAATGGTACAATTCGGCGCGCCGCTCTTTTCACAAAACTTTTCATCGATTTCAAATTCCATCCTTGAAACGAGTTTCGAGTGTCAACGAGAATCTAGGTTCTGAGGCCTAAGACGGAAAGATATAACTCGATGGATCGATCAACGAATGATTCTAATTACTCGATGTAAATCATACTTTCATAGAAAAAAAAAAAAGAAAGAATATACATATTACATCATATTTCTGTTGAGAGAGGAAAAGAGGGCTTGGTCAGCCAGATAGAAACGTTCCTTTCGTTCTGCACTTAATTCCCGCACGGTTGTATATATTTCGTGTTTCTCCCATAAATCTCTCATTATCATCCCGACGCTCTCTTCCGCGGAGGAACAGATTTCCCAGCTGTTTTGACACCGAAATGCGTATTAAGACGCGCTTAAGGGTCACGTTCGCTGGCGAAGTAGGTGAGGCCTCTTTCGTTTCGGTACGGAGGCCCTCGTGAGTAGAACGGAACGACCGTTCAGCCGCGCTAATACGCGCGAGATTTTCCAAGCGAAGGGGCCGATGCGTACGTAGACGCACAATGGAATTAACATAAGTGAAAATGCACACGGCGACGTGGCCGGTCGCTCTCTAAGCGACCGTTAGCCAACCCGCCCTTCCAACCGGTCCTACGCAGACGTAAATCCTCTCGAGACCGTTTGAACAAAACGTGTGCGGGTTTCTCGTAAATTCTCTGCTCCACGTGCGTAATTATTTGTGTCATTACCGGCAAGATAGCGGCGGCACATTCACCGGGCGTTCCACTTTCGGCCTCCACCGAGGCGAACATCGCCTCGATGCGCGCCTGGACGGCGCTATTCACCCTCTTCTGCTCCTCGGCACCTATGTCGTCGGGACTAGTCGGGATCACGGTAGACAATCCGGCGTACCACCCTCCCAGTGCGGAACTGCAGATCGATCTGAAGCGATCGAGATTCGTTAAAGGAAGCATCGGAGGAGGAACATGAGTCACCGGCCAATGCGAAGGTGAATGTGTGCATACGGAAAAATACTTACTGCATTCGAGCAAATGTTATACTTCAAATGCAGATATTTCATAAGTTTATCCCGTCCGCGAATATATCACAAGTTCATCATAAGTGTCACATTTATGCAAAATATATTCTGAATCCCAGTAAGTTCAATATTCCCATCAAGAATATTAAATTAAGAAGAAACTTCGGCTTGCTTATTCAAATTAACCGAATTTATCACTCTTCTCTTAAAGTCTATAATATTCTTGAAAAGATAATATTCTCTTTCCGAATACGTGATAATGAAATTCTCCCAAAATTCGTGACGAGCGTATTTCAAGACTATTATTAAGAAAATATTCTTTATTGAAGATAATTATTAAAAGAAAATATTCTTAAAAATTAAAAGGAAATATTCTTTATTGAAGATAATTATTATTTAAGAGAAGAAAAATCAACTGAACGATCACTTTTCCTCGCAGTAAAATGGTATTTTTATCCATGCACGGGAAAAAGAATTAGCTTCCACAGTTAAAAACTAAATTTAAGTTAATTCCTTTTACTCGTGCGTACACTAGATTTCAATACGGCTTGAACATTGCATTTACGATGCGGCTAGGAACTCAGCCGATGGTCCAGTGGGAAAACTGGATTTTTATTGATCCCCAGAAGTTTTCTCATGGGATCATCGACTGCGTTCAAAAGCGCATCGACGAAAAGCCGTTCAAGCCGTTTTAAGACGTAGCGTATGAACTATGAACTTGGAATTAAAGGTTACTCAATTATAGCTACATGAAGCCGAGCGTATACTTGATACCGATAGGATTTTAACATGATCGGATTCGGTGTAATAAGCTCGATTCACCTGGAGTCCTCGAACAATGCGTCGATCTGCGCCTTACTCCTGAGAGAGCACTCGGACGGCGGCCCGCCCAATCGAAATCCATCCTCGTAGCAGGACATTCCTAAGGTCGACATCTTTTATCCGGACGTTACACCTGTTTCCCAGACCGTTGCATCTACCTCGAAGCAACTCGCTCCTCGCGTTTATCGCGTCTCGCCCGCTATCCTCATTCGTTCTGGAACAAGAAAGGCGCGTCGTTACGAACGATGTATCCTTAAACTCGAGTAGAATCGTAACAGCCGACGACATTAGCTCTCCGCTACGTTCCTATATCGCGATCGCGATGAACGCGAGAACGCCGGAACACAGTAATTTATTCGTATTTACCGGTTCTCTGGTAAATGACAGAGTCTCGCGAGCGGCCGCTCAAGGCTGTTTCCGGCTCGAATGCGATATTAATGATTATTCGAGGATAACGTCGAAGGACCGGGGGTCCTCCGACGTTCTCACCTGGTTTCCACGGGCACCTAGTCGACGTCGTCGCGCGTTAAATTTATGCCGAGCGCCGTATATAATTAAAGTCGAATTGTAGGTGAGATCGGATACCGGTTAGCTCTATGCGCTATACAGTTCGCAACGGTAAAAGTGACGGCGATTAGAGAAGAGGAAAATGCGAGCACAATGAACCCGCCGATGCGTGGCAGGTATTAGTGAAAAACGATCGATCGGGATCACGGATAGAGTGAATGCACCTGCGGGTAACGTCGCGATCGCCACTGGTCTACCGACTGAGGCGTCAGGCGGGTAAAGGCCTTTCTTTTCTACCCGGAAAAACGAAATTTCGATGCTCAGGCGGGTGTAAATTAGGCTATTAATGCACCTGAACGCTCGAGCACCTTTACCTTGGGCCGACATCAAGGTCGTTATCCTGCGAGCTAGAAATCGCTGCACAAGTTGCCGCTCGCATGAAGTGTACAGAAAAATTGCGTGTCTGCCATAATCAGGTTCGTCTGTGTGTTACTTCGGATTTCACCGGCAAACCGTGAAACTTCGCGCATTTCTTCGTTAAGTGCGCGCGCGTTGCCGCTTTAATAACACCCGAGGAACATTATTTCGTCACCCAGACGCGAAGATTTCGGCGCACGGTGAAAGATAATTCTGCTGCAGGCAAAATCGTTGTTGCGACGGAAATAAAATTAAGGAAGAAATCAAGTAAAATTTAATTCGCACGGCTAAATTATTTTGCTGTCTGACATATCCAGCAAATAGCAATGAATACTCTTAGCAAATCCTTCCTGCTGTCCGAACAAATCTTTTTTCTGCGCCAGCGGAGTATTTTTCACCGTGCGGATTTGCGGCGAATGGATAATATTCTCAGTAGCGCGCTTCATCGCGGGAAGGATAATGCAAATAATATTATAAATAAATCTGTAGATAACGGTTTCGTCGGACGATTTCGGTAAAGAGGACGATCGTAAATCAAAATCAAAGTCGCGCCGCCTTCGCGCCGCCGACGGTCGAAGTCAACGTAGGTAGGTGGAGGTAAGTGTCTGACAGGAGCCAGCTGTCGTTTCTTCGAAATTATTTCTACGACAGCCCGCAGTTAGGTTTTACAGTTATGGGCCGGTTAGATCCGACAATACGTTGTTTCTGGAAGGTGTCGGTGTCGGCATCGACGATGATAATCCGAAGTAACTGTCAATGCGCGCCCCTCTCGCGATCTCGACGTCTGAGCGCGTGCTGGCTTCACGCGCGCGCATTTACGGCGACTACACGACCGACGGAACCGGCTACCGAACCGCGGCTATAATTACGATTCGTTGCGGTTAATCGCGAGATAACGGCGACTGCGACAATCGGCAGCGGGGAATCGGCGCACCGGGAATCATCAGTGGCGAGCCCGGCTACCGACATGTACGACATGCATAATTGCGAAGTTCGATAATCAGCCCGGCCGTGTTGCCGCTCGACGTGAATAATTCTGAAACCGTGTATGCCTTTGGTTCGGCATATTTCATGTAACGCAGCCGTGATGATTTATCATCACGTCCCTCGGGCGATTTTCGCCACAGGCCTGCATCCTCATCGCCTGCAGCCCTGAATAATCACTGGCGAACCTCGCGGTTCTGACCCAGTTCCAGCTCCTCCACGCTCCACCGTTTTCATACTCTCGGCGAAGTGCGAATCCGCTCGATTGATAATTCCAACCATCCCCTTACTGACTATGCACTTTTCTCAGGAATTTTTCTCACAATGCGTAAGAACGACAGAGATAGAGAGAGAGAGAGAGAGGAGGGGGATCTCGTCAGCAAGGAGACACCGGATAGGAGCTGCAGGATGGAACCGGGAACTCGGGAAAGAAAACGACGACACCTGGACGCGTGGTCGGAACCGCGCTGTCCTTCGACGAGACGCGTTCATCCGTTTCTCCTGGGACCGGCGTTCCTTGTTTTCATAACCGTCGAGGCGTCCGCAGTGCCGTGTTTAAGGCAACGGTATTAAGGTCGGCGAGCAGATTACGGCATCACGTGCCGGCGCATCGTAGAGAGCTCCAGTCGATATATACACGGCGCGCTCGACTTTGAGCGCGTGCGTCGTTCAACTCGCAATTACCAAGTTCACGGCTCGTTTCCCGCCTGCGTCTGCTTTAATGGATATCGAGACGGCCGATAAACACATGCGCGAGATATCCATCTAGGAGCGCGTCGTCGACGGTTTATTTGCTCGAACCGCGCTTGAAACACCTCGGTTCCGGGAATTTTAGAAACTCTGTAATTAGCGGACGCAGCCCGGGGAGATTTTTATTTTTCGCCGTGTTTACCTCACGATGTCCTAATAATCGTCGGGACGAAATTAACAAGGAAAGCTCGGCAATCGACTGTCTGCTGTGCGTAGAGAATTAGCGCTAAGAAGCAACCTTCCAAATGTTTCATCCCGCGCGTCTGACAGATTTTTTATTGTCGTCAGGTGAGAATACAGGATGTACGTTGACATGTTAAAGATTACCCCCGTCAACGTCAAGATTATTCCATGAATTTCTGTGGGATCGGGATGGATATCCGAAGGTTGACCTCGATTGTTACGTGATTGAGAATCGATGTGCCGTATCGTAATGTTAAGAAAACAGCAGAATCTGCCGAATCTGTTTGTACCTGCTAGTTCGTCATCGACCTCCGGGATGTGATCCAAGATAACACGCGGCCGTCGAATCATGCGACATCACCACCCTTGTGCGAATCGGTCTCGTTCGATCAATTCGCGCTGTCATATCACCGTCGAGCACCCGGGGAAGTCTGTCACGAGAGCCGTCGCGCGTCCGCGTGGTTACGCGCGAGGATATCGCGATTCGCACCACATCGAGCCGCACTCATTGATCGCACGTCTACGTTCACTCCCACGCTTATCGATGACCTTCGTCGTGCACAGTCACAACGACGAGGTTCTGTTCTCTCGACGAGCGTCGACCTTGGCCGCCGTCGAGTCGATCCGGATGACCGTCGACGTGAAACTGCCGGGGATGTTCCGCAGGAGAGACTCGAGTTCTCTAGCTAGTGAGTCGGCGCCTCCGCGACGGAGGAACGAAGAGGAGGAGAAGGATGAAGATCAACGGAGGAGAGACCCTCTCCCGATCCTCTCGGCGACCATCGCGAACGCGTCTACCGGCTACTCTCTCGTTGGCCGCCCGGAAATCTCATTCCGCTGATATTCTGATAAATCGGACGCCACGGCACGCCCACGGTATCGTGCTTCGACCGGATAATACGCTTTCTTCCTCCGCTATTATGTCTGCTATTATTCGAACAGGCCGCACACAATGAGAGATTCTATCTACTCCGTCTACCGTTTGAGAAAGATGTCTGATTTGCCGGAGTATCTCCGAACTTTGAGATAATTAATGAGTATCTGACTGGTAAGTAGATTATACAGGCAACATTGTCGGGAAGACACTCGCTTTGTCTTCGTCGATATGAGGATTTCTCACACGGTAGGAAAAAAGGTTTGGTTGAATTAATTAGAACGTGTTTCAGTCGAGGGAGACAGAGAATTTCCGATTGTATAATCCGGTTTTTATGGCCGGCAATTCCGTCTTCTTCAATCAAAAGTGGTTGTCCACTTTCCGCTTGGTTCGACGGAATTTTCTTATCTCACGTAATTTGCATAAAGTCGTCACGTTAAAAAGTCGCTCCCTGATCGATTTTATTTTTCAAAGTTTAATATTTATATTTTTCAAGAAAGCCACGTCACGCTAAGAAATATACTTTTCCGTACATGTGTCTCGTCAGAAACTAAATTCAACCTGATTTTATTTCTTATATTTAAGATTTTTTTCATTTATATTCAAGAAGACAACACTCTATCATACCGAGCAATTACTTAATAACTTCGCGTGCAAATTTCCTCTCTTCCCCGGTCCACAAGTCATTTAATGACTGAAAGATAACGAGGACGCAATTTTTCCCCACCGGCAATTTTTTCCGCGCGCACATCGGCGCTGTACTTGACCGATATCCTCGCGGTTGTCCCGAGGTGGGTTATCAAACGACATCAGGAGAATCGGTAAGACAGACTCGGTGGGAGATGATTAACGATAGACAAGACAGAGAAGAGTGGAACAACGAGAGAACGAGAGAGAGAGAGAAAGAGAGAGAGAGACAAGCAATCGAATCGATGAGCACGGTAGGGTGGACCGTATGGCGTTGTCCGAGTCCTCCGATTACCGGGCATTGGAAGTGGCCGTCGTTGGTGCGCTCGCGCTGCGGTAACGTCGTAACCGGTAACGGTACCGCGCTTCGACGGCGTTCACCGGTCGTACCAATGTGAGAGTACTGTTATTTCAACTATGCAGGCTGCGTGTTCCCTCTCCGTCTATTCTTGCTCGGCTTCCTCCTCGCTCTACTACGTCCGTCTCGCCCTCTCTCTCTCTCTCTCTCTCTTTCACCGTGTCTCGAAACGCAGCCAATTTAGCATCACCGCTTACACCTATCGATCCGGTTTTTGGTATTTTTTTTCGGAATATTGGAAACGTTTTCTCGTTCGGCAGGGATCAGTGGGTGATACGGTAAATGATAAAAAGGTAAATAAATAATGAGGGAATCGTATGTAAATCGCGCCTCCTCGGTATATTAACATATTTGCGGTATTTCGAAATTTATATATCACTTTCGGAATAA